TTCCCCGACTTGCTACCGCTGCATCACAAAGAGCGGTCACAATGTCTGCGTAAAGCGTATCTAGAGTACGCCAGTGGCCACGGTCATTACAAGCACAATCAGCACAGCACACACAATTCAAAGGAAAGTAAATCAATCTCAGTCTCTTATGGCTCTCACTGGTATTTATAGAAGTTTGTTCAACACTTCTTTCACCCCATAATAGATCTTTATTTTCATTCAGATTTAAGGCAATATTTTAGGGGTTAGTAATTTTCAGTCGCAATGTACCTATAATGAACGGGAAGTGCTCCGACAATTGAGTGTCATATATTACATCAACATTAATCACAGACTGCTTTGCCGACTGAGTAGTAATACAGTGCTCCGGCCAACTGCAGGTCCCGAACTAATAAAAGCATAGTTGTAAATTGAAACCACTAAACCGTAACCGCTTTATAAACTTACAAGTTTTGGAAACAAATATCTTAAAGTAAATGCTCAACAAATATAAACAACTAATCTCTGTACGAGCGAACGGATAATGCTTCTGTAAGAGAGCTCAAGTTAATTATTTAATACCTTAAAATTTCTCGTCGTATCGTAACCTAGAACGTAGTCCAACTGCACGAACGAACAATATCGTGACAAAAGAAGTTGTAAATACAAATTGAGCTATATAGTTGGATGTTGTGCACGCGATATTGCTTACTACGAGCACATCTCTTTCAGCAAATACTGTATGCTTTTGAGTTTCTCTCCATAGTCTGTTACCAAATGAAATGAAACAAATGCATTATATTAAATACGCGGAAAATTCTGTTAATAAAAGGGAGATTTTTAACAATCTACATACGTTTTATAATACAGGGTTTAAAGCTGAACTGGTAACAACGAAGGAAAACTGTCCATTGTTCACAATTACTCTTTATTTGAAAGAAGTCTCCCAAGTGAACATCTGCAGAGACTGACGTCGGTGCTGAGACAAATTGTATAGAAGAATTAAAACCTCGATTTCAGAATGTAATATTTCTTTATTTCTTAGTCCGTTGGAGTTTTTTGGGTTTTATTAAAAGAGTTTTTTTTTTTGTTTTTTGTAACCTTTTAAGTAAACTAAAGAATATCACAATCTTAATGTCATTTAAATAGTTACGTTAAAAACTTAATACTCTATTTTACCGCCTTTTTCTGCCGACTTCCAAAAAGGGAAGGGTACTCAATTCGACGCGTATGTTTTTTTTATGTGTACTACTTATACTTATACTTATACTTATCTTCACGCACAATCCCTGACGGGGTAGCCAGAGAGAACAGATCGCCAAGTGTCACGATCCCTACAAACCTTTTTCGCTTCTTTCAGATTCATTATCTTCTTCATGCATGCACGTCTAGGTATCCGAGTACTTTTGACCCTACCCTCTTCGAGCAATTAGACCGAGACTAAGTTTCGAAGACCATGGTCTTCGAAACTTAGTCTCGGTCTACCTCGACACCTTTTAATATGAACTTTTGCGCTATATATTTTCTTCACCATTCGGTCTTCACTCATTCGCTCAACGTGCCCAAACCACCGAAGCACGCCCTTATCAATTTTTGTGATAAGGTCATCTTTCAAACCTGCCATATTGCGAATCTCTTCGTTTCGCTTTCGGTCGGCCATGGTAACGCCGCACATTTTACGAAGAGATCGCATCGCCACTGCATTCAACTTACTTTTATGCTTCTTCTGGCATACCCAGGTTTCGCTGCCATATAACAAAGTCGGTACCAACACTGCGTTATGTATTGCAAGGCGTGCACTCTTCGCTACGCCTTGCCTTTTGACTAACGCAGTCAGGGCACCATTGACTTTGTTCCCGGCAGCGACACGCCTGTCCACATCTAAATCACATCTTCCATCCCGGCTAAAAGCACTCCCCAAGTATACAATTTCATTTACCTGTTCAAGACATTCCTGATTTCCCCATATTTCACACTTCGTTCTCTCTTCGTCCCTTACAAATACCAGAAACTTAGTTTTATTAGCATTCAAACGGAGACCTTTAATTTCACATTCCTCTTTCATACACGTGACTAATGCCTGCAGTTCTGCCTCTGATGGTGCAATAAGCACTGCATCATCAGCATACAGCAGACAATTTACTTTAATGTCACCCAATTTCACACCCAAACAACTATCTTTCAGCTTCTGTAAACAGCTGTCGAGATACAGTATGAACAGCCAGGAAGACATGACACAACCCTGCTTTACGCCCGTTTGGGCGTTAAACATGGGTGACAGGTCATGCCCTACCCGCACACAGGCTTTACAGTCACAGTAAAGAGACTGCACAGCCCTTAGCAATCGACCATTCACACCATACCCTGGCAACAGTTCCCACATTTTCTTCCTTACAACCTTATCAAATGCTTTCTCAAGATCCACAAAAGCACAGAAAATCTTCTGGTTAGCAGCCAGAAGCTTTTCCGTGATCATGCGGAGAGAAAACATTTGATCCGTGCATCCTCTTCCAGGTCTAAATCCGCATTGTGCCTCCCATAGAAATCTTTCCGATTTCTCTTGCATCCTACGTGTCAAAATCTTCGAGTAAACTTTACTTGCTAAACTGGTCAAGCTGATCGTCCGATAGCACCCGCAGTCAAAATGTGAACCTTTACCTTTATATAAAGGCACAATGACTGCGGATCGCCAATCATCCGGGACATTCCCCGTCCGCCAGCACAAATTGCACAGCAGATGAAAGCTCTCCCAGACGCGAGGCCCACCATACTTGAGCATTTCAGCAGTAACTCTGTCTAGTCCCGCAGCCTTACCACATTTCAAACTTCGAATCGCACGTTCAATCTCTTTCATACTGATGACCTCAGTGTCATCGAGGTCCGGGTCTGGCGTACCAGTCACGTCGTCATCCCCGGGTAAGATCCCTCACTAAGATCATCACACGTGTGGTGTATCTATTTATTTACACACACACATTGGAAATATCTATTTACATATGTATATAAATAACTCATTATACAGTTAAGTTTATCATACACAATCTATAGTATTCATATATATATTTTATTTACTATGTACGACATACTTATTTATTATCACTTATATTAGTATTTTATATTATCAAGTCCCGTACGTGGAAGGCACTCTCGTAGAACCGGTTCCCCGGTCGGTCGACCGGCCGCGGTGCATAGTTTAAGAGAAGACTCGCCAGTTAGCAACGAGACCCTTATACGCGTAAGCGCATGCCGCTCCTTGCTCCGTCGCTTGATTGTTATCACACAAATTTAATCCGTAATATAAGTTGTGAAAGACTGTTATCCCATAAGCTAATTTTATTATTGAGCTATTAATATTATAATATTTTATCAATTTACTATCATTCTTTTCTCCTTCTTATCTTAATAATTGTGTGTGTATCTATTGTAATAAACTGAATTATTCGGAATTTGTGGACATTATTTAAATTGCCTAGTCGTTACACGAACATTACATCTTACTATACCACACTGGTGACCCCGACGTGATCACTAAAATGAGTGATAGCAGTGATACGGTAAAAACCGCGGAATCAACGGCAAAGTCAGAAAAAGTGACCATGCGGCGCGCTCAACGTGTGCGTGTCCCTACAGAAGACGAACGTGATAAAATGGCGGACGCACGTAAAATTAACATAAAGGTGCCTCCATTTTCTCCAGACGACCCGGAGATTAGAAAGCCAATTTGAGAACTCAAATATAAGTGACGACGCTACAAAATTTACCAATGTAATAATAAATTTAGATATTATATACGCTAAAGCGGTGAAAGATATCATCATAAATCCTCCGGCGTATAACCGTTACAACAAGATAAAGACGGAGCTAATCAGGCGTCTATCCGCGTCTCACGAGAAGAAGGTAAAGCAGTTACTTACGCACGAAGAGCTCGGGGATCGGAAACCTTCACAGTTTCTTCGGCATCTGATGGACCTAGCGGGACCTTCCGTGCCCGAAGAATTTATAAGAACTATATGGAGTAATCGTCTTCCACACAACATTCAGACGGTACTAGCATCACAACCGACTCATTCCTTGGAGCAATTGGCTGACCTCGCAGACCGCATACAGGAAATCACAGCACCCTGTAACGTAGCCGTCGCGTCTTCCAGCGCTGCAGTGGCTCAACCTGCCAATGAAATCGCTGAGCTGAAGAAGATGGTGGAGCGTCTCGCGTTAAAGCTAGATGAGCACACGAGCTCTAACCGAAGGTGCAGCAACAGATCCAGACCACAACGACGTCGATCGACCTCACGTCAGCGTACACGGTCTAACTCCAACTATCGGAAGTATCCTATATGCTGGTACCACTCAAAACATGGGGCAAATGCTCTATGGTGTATTAAGCCTTGCGACTATCAGCCGGCGGGAAACTACGCGGGCAATCGCTAATGGCGACGGACGACTGCCCAGCTTCGATGAGTCGCCTTTTCGTCAAGGACCACGTGACGAAGACAGAGTTCCTGGTGGACACCGGCAGCGACCTCTGTGTGTTCCCCTACGACGCACTAAAGGAGCGACGACAGAAAGCGAACTACCAGCTTTCAGCAGCGAATGGAAGTATAATTAATACGTATGGTTATATTAATCTAAAACTTAATTTAGGTTTACGTAGAGATTTTCCATGGCAGTTTATAGTAGCTGATGTCACAAAAGCAATCATAGGTGTTGATTTTCTTTCACATTATAATCTTGTCGTAGATGTGCGCAACAAACGCCTAATAGATAATACTACTTCTTTGTCTGTAAATTCAATTGCTAACGTTGTTTGTAATGCTTATTCTGTCAAGGTGCTGACTGGCGATTCTAAGTACCACGCGATCCTAAATAAATATCCAGAAATCACTAGACCTTCAGGTACACCGCTCACGCCAACACATCACACTAAGCACCACATCCGCACCACACCAGGACCACCTATCTCTTGTTCACCTCGTAGGCTGGCACCCGATAAGTTGCTGATTGCCAAGCGAGAGTTTGACATCATGTTAAGCAATGGCACAGCACGCCCATCGGAAAGTCCGTGGTCGTCACCCCTTTATTTGGTACCTAAAAAGAATAACGGGTGGCGTCCATGCGGTGATTACCGACGACTTAACGCACGGACCATACCAGACAGGTATCCCATCCGCCATATCCATGACTTTGCTCACGCTATTTCTGGTTACAACAAGTGCAAGATCTTTTCAACTATTGACCTTGTAAAAGCCTACAATCAGATTCCTGTTTTTGAGGAGGACGTTGCAAAAACAGCAATTACTACACCCTTTGGCCTGTATGAGTTCCCATTCATGGGCTTCGGTTTGCGTAACTCTGGGCAAACTTTCCAAAGGTTTGTTGATGAGATGACCAGAGGCCTCGATTTCTGCTACTGTTTTCTCGACGATTTCCTTGTCTTCTTGAAAACAGAAGCAGAACATCGAGACCACCTTCACCAACTGTTTAACCGAATGAAGGAATACGGTATCCTCATAAACTCGTCAAAATGTGTCTTCGGAGCTAGCGAGGTGTCATTCTTAGGACACCATATCTCAGAAGCCGGTTCTAAGCCTTTGAACTCAAAAGTCGAGGCTATACAAAATTTTCCACCTCCGAAAACCATACGCCAGCTAAGGAGATTCCTGGGCATGGTAAATTTTTACAGGCGCTTTCTACCAAATGCGGCTAGGATTCAGCTGCCGCTGAATGCTTTACTTTCCGGTTTGGTCAAGGCGTCTCAACCGATCGATCTCACCGGGGAAGCACTAGCTTCCTTCAATGAGTGCAAGAACAGCCTTTCCCAAGCTGCTCTACTCGCACACCCTGACTGCAACGCCAAACTTGCTCTGGTAACAGATGCATCAGATTTGGCTATGGGTGCAGTTTTGCAGCAGTTTAAGGATGGTTTTTGGCAACCTCTTGCTTTCTTTTCTCGAAAGCTAAGTCCTTCCCAAATGAAGTACTCACCATATGACCGTGAGCTTTTGGCGATATATGAAAGCATAAAATATTTTCGGCACATGCTAGAGGCCAGGCACTTTGTAGCATATACTGACCATAAGCCGCTCAGTTACGCTTTTCATGATAGGAAAGTCAACTGTTCGCTGTCGTCAGTACCGCTACCTCGATTACATCTCGCAGTTCACGACCGATATCCGCCACATTTCGGGCAAGGATAATGTCGTGGCTGACACCTTGTCTCGAATCGAGGAACTGCAAATGCCAATCGATCTAGATCTACTTGCAAAATCCCAAACCTCTGATGCGGAACTGACTGATATCTTGAGCAGTGAATCATCACTTTCACTGCGTATAGAACAGTTCAAGCTTCCGAACAGTAGCTCGGAACTATATTGCGACGTGAGCACACCGTCACCTAGACCATTTGTGACAAAGCCCTTCCGTAAAAAACTCTTCGATAGTCTTCATAACCTCAGCCACCCAGGCGTCAGAGCGTCAACCAAACTTGTAGCGGAGCGATTCGTTTGGCCTGGGATGCGTAAAGACTGTCGAGAGTGGTCACGGAACTGTCTGGCGTGTCAACGTGCAAAGGTGCATCGCCACGTGTCATCTCCCTTCGGCACGTTCGATCTACCCAAGGCACGTTTTCCTTTTATCCATGTGGACATAATAGGCCCACTGCCGCCAACACAGGGAAATCGATACTGCCTCACCATCGTGGACCGTTTCACACGCTGGCCCGAAGTCTCGCCAATTGTCGATATGACAGCTGAGACCGTTGGAAAGGCTCTGATATCATGGATATCCAGATTTGGATGTCCAACTGATATCGTAACGGATCGCGGACCCTTTTTCATTATTTAGGAAAAATGATTGGATTCAAACATCGAAAAGCTACCGCGTATCACCCAGCGTGTAACGGTATGGTGGAACGGTTTCACCGGCAACTAAAGGCAGCAATAATGTGTCACGCAGACAGCAACTGGGTAGACACATTGCCTTTAGTACTGTTGGGTATTAGGTCCTCTTATAAAGAAGAGCTTAAAGCTTCGTCCGCAGAGTTGGTATACGGAGAGCCCTTACGTCTTCCAGGGCAATTTTTCCAACCAGTTGCTCTGGATAACACCGATTTATCAGAATTTACCACTCGCCTTCGACAGCTCACCCAGAAGCTATCACCGACACCTGCCACACGTCACAGTAAAAACAACATCTTTGTACATAAAGATTTAAAAGTTTCAACGCACGTATTTTTGCGAGACGATGCCTTAAGAGGTGCATTGCAACCTCCATATTCTGGCCCTTACAAAGTAGTCGAACACGGGGATAAAACATTTAAAATATGGGTAAAAGGGAAAGCTGTAACAGTATCGATAGACCGTCTTAAGCCAGCCTATATACTGACAGACCCCTCACCAAATTCCATCCCTAATTTTTATCCTCAACCTGTCCCTAAACCGTCAGAATCCACCGATACAGCAGCAACTCCTGTCAAGGAAAACGTTAAACGTACGCGCTTGGGGCGCGTTGTACGTTTCCCTGATTTTTATCGCCCGTAGTGACGGTCTCCGGGGGGGAGTGATGTGGTGTATCTATTTATTTACACACACACATTGGAAATATCTATTTACATATGTATATAAATAACTCATTATACAGTTAAGTTTATCATACACAATCTATAGTATTCATATATATATTTTATTTACTATGTACGACATACTTATTTTTTATCACTTATATTAGTATTTTATATTATCAAGTCCCGTAAGTGGAAGGCACTCTCGTAGAACCGGTTCCCCGGTCGGTCGACCGGCCGCGGTGCATAGTTTAAGAGAAGACTCGCCAGTTAGCAACGAGACCCTTATACGCGTAAGCGCATGCCGCTCCTTGCTCCGTCGCTTGATTGTTATCACACAAATTTAATCCGTAATATAAGTTGTGAAAGACTGTTATCCCATAAGCTAATTTTATTATTGAGCTATTAATATTATAATATTTTATCAATTTACTATCATTCTTTTTTCCTTCTTATCTTAATAATTGTGTGTGTAACTATTGTAATAAACTGAATTATTCGGAATTTGTGGACATTATTTAAATTGCCTAGTCGTTACACGAACATTACATCTTACTATACCACACACGCATACATTTATCTATAAAATTCGCTCCATCGCTGCATGACGTCCGATTTTTCTGAGAGGACGTCATTAGTTCTCGAAAGCACTTTGTGCATTCTTAAGGCCGTCGCACCACTTCGGGTCCTTCCAACCTCTTTCCAGAAGAGTTTGGAGTTCTCCTTAAAGTTATGCGATAACCTTTCGTCCGCTTCCATTCTACACCTTTCACGCACTTCCTCAATCAATGCTTTCGTGTGGACTTTCTGCAGCTTATATCTTTCTTTCATCTTCTCTCTCATATCCTTATCATTACTAGAGGCCAAGTAGTCTAACCATGCTTTCTTCTTCTTCTTTACAGCTTCTTTCACTTCATCATTCCACCATGCATCTCTTCTTTTACTACTTCCTCTTTTTATTGTTCCACACACTTCTTCTGCTGCACTTACCTTTCCATCCCTAAGGTTCTGTCATGTTCTTTCCACACATTCTTTTCTGCCATCGATGGTGTCAAGCTTTTCGGCTACCCTCGCATGATTTTTGTCCCTAGTATCCGCTTCCTGAAGCTTCCAGCTTCGGATGCGACAGACCGACTGTGGTTCTGTTACTGCCGTCCGGTAGCGCCAATCCGCGAACAGACCCCTAAATCTAGTAATCACTAGATAGTGATCCGTTTCCAGGTCAGCATCCCTGAACACTCGCGTATCCATCACCTGTTTTCGCAGTCGGTCATCCACCAGGAACAAATCGATCATACGTCTCTCATTCTTTCGTTCTCTAGTATACATATGGATTTTCTTGTGATTAAACATAGTGTTTGTCACAAGAAGACCCTTTTCCTTGCACACCGCCAGTATAAGCTTGCCAGCATCATTAACCCTTTTATCGCCAAACTTTCCAAGTACCGACTCGTACCCTGGTGGAGCGGTACCAACCCATCCATTCAAATCACCACATACAACAATTCTTCCGTTTCCCCTAGCCAAATCTAGAACTTCTCTTACATTCTCCCAAAACTCCTCCAGCTCAGCCCTGGACGACGAAGCTACCGGCGCATAAACAGCCAAAAGGAATAACTTCGTCAGTCCCAATTTAAAGCGAACCCAGAGAAGTCTTGAGTTCACAACCTTATATTCAGTCATAACATCGACCAACCGAGAAGACAGCAGCACCCCCACTCCCTGGCAGGCGTTCTCGCTCTCCGGGACTCCGGACCATAGAGCTAACGCCCCGCCAGGGAGCTCTTCAGTACCACTGCCCTTCCGTTTGGTCTCCGACATACACACGACATCTAATTCTCTTTCTTTCATTATTTCAATCAACTCATTCATCTTATCTCTCATGCCTCCTCTAACATTCCACGTGCCAACTCTGCACTCTGTCCTCCACCTTCCGCCGTGTCGGGCTGTGCGTGACGGGTGGCGGTCCCCATCGCCGCTTTGTACGCTGCATTCCACACCAACGGGGACGAGCTGGTGTGCGTCGCCTTGGGGGAACGCCCTAACCCTCGTTGGCATGGGTGCGCAGCTAGTAGAATTGCAGCCCTGAAAAGGGCTGGCAGGGGTCGCGACGAGCACGCTTGTACAATGAATTTTTTTATGTGTGATACCTCATAACTTTTTACTGGGTGGACCGATTTCGATGATTCTCTATTTATATAAAAGCTGATACTTCTCGTGTAGTCTCTCGTTGATCAAGATCAGACCAATAGTTTTTGAGTTATTCTTAATAACTTATGTTGAAGTCGGCTATACAAAATTTTAAATTTTAAATTATATAGCATAGGGTGACAAACGAGCACACAGTCCACCTGATGGTAAGAGGTTGCTGTGGCACATACACATCTACATCTATCCTCGTTAGCGAATCAAAATGCAGATGCGTTGTCACCCGTGAGGACTAAGATGGATTGCCTCTTTACAGTAAAAAGGATCTTCGGTTCTCTTCCCTCACGATACGAAACATAACAGTGTTAAGCTGCTATTTTACGCTGGTATTCTGTAAGAGCGTGGTCCTTCACTGGTCGAGCCGAACGGGGAAGGACCACGAGGAAATTAGAGAAAGAGTGAAATTTTTCTCCAATTTTTTCGCGACCATCTCTGAAGTATTAGCTTTTTTATTAAATTCTGCCCACAATTAGCGAAGTAATCGCATAACGTACATAAAAGAACATACAATTAGAACCTCTTCCTATTTTGAAGTTGGCTAAAATTGTATTGGAATGACATATTTCAACGTGATATTCACGTGACTTAACAGATACTTAACGCTGATTTCACTAATTTCTTAAAGTTTTCTATTTGTCGGAGCGTCTATAAAGTATCACTTGAATCAAGGTGAACATGAGGGTATATCGAGAAACTCTCACTTGTTTGTGCAGTATAAAGTTCACTGTAGGTGCCGTGCGAGAGAGATTCCGCTTCAGTCATTCAAGGAGTGTGGTCATTCTACTAGTGCTACGATAGTGTTGTGGTTCTGTTCGTTGTTGTAATTCCTCTAGTGCAGACAAGGAGGATTGGTGTTGCTGAGAGGCTGCCCTGTGTTACATTGAGATAAGTAGTGTTGCTGTTGCTGTACATATTTTAGTGTTATCATGTAATTACGTACCTCACGTTACACTGGTGTGTGATTGTGGCGGAGACGTGTTACGGTGTGGTCGAACTGTAATTTCACTATACTGAATGTACAGTGCGTTACGTTGTCTTATTACTGATAATGATTAAACTGCGTAAGCAAGAGAGCAAGTTGAATATCCGCTTTCACACTTTTATTATTTTTAACAATTAACGCTGTCCTGATGTATTTCCAAGATCAAAATTGGAATCCCCTGTTGTAATTCTCCGACATATTGATGTTATTAATTATAGAAAGTCAACTAGTTAATATGTGCAATTCACTATTACACAATATATATGACTAGGTAGATAATACCCATAAATGTATCGGTATTGATAAAATATTCTATAAATAAATTCTGTAGGGACGAGAAGTGGAGAAACAAATTAGAAATTTAATATAACTCAAGTTGTAGTGCAACATATTGGTGTTGCATTATATAGCACAAGTTGATTACGCTGTCCATCAACTGCTAGACGGGA